CGCAGCCCTCCCCCCCCCCCCCCCCAAAAAATAAACAAAAACAAAACAACACCATTTGGCTGGAGTTAGGGTTGTAACCTTCATCAAATGACTAGTCTGTGTTATAGCAGGGATGGTACATATCTTACGTTCTCTGACATCAAATATTAAAGTAACACTCTGGTTTGTGGTTACACTTTACTCATTTATAACCACATGTGGTAATATATTCTATACATGACTTGGGTCATGAGATGAGCAAGAAAAGGAAAACCATAGCAACTCCACTATTCATGATGAAGAAGTGGTAATCACAAATACTTCTAGATCCCCATGGTAATAGACCACATCACCATTAAATCCCACTGTGAGCGGAGGAATCCTAATATACTTACTAGAACATCACATTACCTTGCTTGAGTTCACATTAAATGGGTAGACAGCGATTTACATGAAACACACATGGACTGTTTAATAGGCCAGATAAATTTCTTTCTTTAAGCTATATATATCAACATACACCGTATCAATGAGGGCTAAATTTTTTTTTTTTACTATCCCTACGCTGGACAGGATATAGACATTGTTTTACTTTTTATTAGGACTACCTCCGTGTCCTAAATTTCATAGATTTATGGTCCTTCTTTCTTCTATCTGCCATAAGTGTGTGGTGACACAGAGCCCTGTGTTTAGGTTATGTAATGCATGCTTTTTTTAAATAGACTTTAAATCTCTTCCTCCGTTTTTCTAAATTTTGTAGATTTTTGGACTATTGTCCTCCCTCCTTCTTATATGTGCCATAAGTTTAAGATGACACAGATCCCTGTGTTTAGGGCATGTAATGCAGGTTTTATTTCATTTATTTTAAATGTCTTGAGGACTTCCTCAGTGTTCTAAATTTTGCAGATTTTTGGACTATTGTCCTCACTTCTTCTATCTGCCATAAGTGTAAAATGTTGCATAATAAAGATATGTCCTCTATGACCCACACATTTCTTTCCATTGCTCTCTTTTTTGAGTCTTCCCATTCTTTCAGCACAAGTTTCCCTTTAAATAGGAATAGCTGAACCAGAAATGATGATAACTGTATTACTTAGAGGACGCATCTGTGAAACAATTTAGCTGCATTATTGATCATTTTCTTTGGTCCACAAAGATTCTTCCTCACGATTTTACAGGGGACTAAACATACTTTGATGTGTGATTCGCATAGAAGGCCTTTGCTTGAACATTAATGTAACCTATATACATATTCCTGTTGTGCTGGTTCTCTTTATCATTTCAACACAGAAAATAAAAGCAGTCAGTCAGTAAAAAACAACAGAAACAAGTAATAATCCTTTTCTGGCCTTTTGATGATTATTTATTTCTTCAAATATTGCTAACAAGTCTTGTGAAAATGATTCAGGTGCACATATCAAAGAATGCATCCTACAAATCTTCTATCTAATTTCCCATGAACCAAGGTGACATATAATACCTATGCTTAGCTTAACATTATGTATAAATTAATATAAACCCCTAAATGTTGCTGGTATATCATGAATGGTATGGCAGTGATTTACTGTGTGTCAGTGAAGGAGCCCTTTTCATTTTATGTGACATGACAGATAGAAGGAGGTCACCAGCTTCTATGTGTGGTCAGAGGTCTACAATTTGGCTGTGGAGCCCTTGTCTTACAAACATTAATAGACTGCGGCTTCCTCACTCCAGCACATGGCTGAGAAGACCTCATATGTAACATAGAAGGTTGAACCTCCTTTATATCTTTTAGTAGTGGCAATGTCTTTGTAACTTTGAGGCAATCCTGTTTCTAAACTGGTCTGCTCACATAACACTGCAGCGCTCTCTGTGCAGTGCTCCCTGTAGGCAGATGCTGGGAGTTTTGCTTCTGCTTCTTGCAGTGGTGCTGATGAGAATTTCCTTGAAGAGTAAGAGGATGTGCCAGTTATTGCGAGCCGAACACTCCAGGTATCCACATTTCCAGTTCTTCTTCACCAGTACAGAGAGAACATTCCGTGGAGCAAAACGAAGCTTCTGCTGGTCTCTCTTGTTTCCAACTACAACAATCACCGGGGGCTTGCTTGTGCTACAGCAAATGACAAGCAGAAGACGGCGTGAAATATTTGCTTTGACGGATACACCAACTGGGAAGCAGAGGGCAATATGCATTATAGATGTGTTGTGTTGTTATTAGGCGATATTGCCATTATTATATTATATATTGTATTATTTTACTATCTAGAAGCAAATTGGCTCATGCTTGTAGGCTGTCTTGCCTTCCTCTGGATCAAACACATACAACTCATACACACACAGTGGTTAAACTTGATGAATGTGTCTTTTTATACCCTTATCAATTATGTAACATAAGTAAAAGGATTAAAAGCAAATACATGCACTCATTTTATGCCACATCACTTGTCTTCAGTATGTACCTCATTTTTGGTTACTACATGAGGAAATGACAACACATCGGTTCCAGGTCTCCCTCCAATGATGTACATGCAGAAACAAACATGGATGCACACAGTACTAATATTAAGAGCTTATGTAAGATATAAAGATAATATTGGTGACAGATGGACTCTGATAACCAAAACACCACAGTACTAATATTAAAAGCTCATGTAAGATATAAAGATAATATTGGTGACAGGTGGACTCTGATAACCAAAACACATACATGCATTAGCCTTAGACTTCCCATTTAGGGCAACAAGAAATACAATTTTCTTTAAATTTAGATGAGCACATTATGTATAATATACATTTAGGGGGTTATTCACTAAAGAACCGCAGGATTTAGCCAAACGTTCGGCTAATCCTTCGGCTTGCTTCGGCTTCAGGAACTCTTCAGTATAGGTGAATGGAAGGGCTGCTGTACACGCTATTCACAATAGCCCGCACAGCAGCCGAAGTAAACAGCCGAGCCGAACGCACATGCTTAGACTCGGCACAGCCAAATCCCCTGCAAGTTGTCAAAAAATAGAATTTAAAAAAAAAGACCCTTTAGGTCTGGTAGGAATGTTAGGAGTGACCCCTGATGTATAAAATAAAATTCATTCCAGACCCTTTAGGTCTGGTAGGAATTTTAAGGGGGACCTCAGGGCCCAAAAAAGGAAAACAAATTGGGGTGCCCCCTAAAATTCCAAACCAGACCCTTAATCTGTGCACAGGAAAAGGGGGGGGGGTTTCACTCGCTACCATTCACCCCTATTCTCATAGGGACCGAACGGCAGTGAGTGAATAGCCAAATGCTGCCGAAAGGCATTCTGCTTAGTTATTCTGCTCACTACCTCAGAAGTAACCAGCAGAAAAAAAAAATGTAAACAAAAGAATAATAAAAAAAGAACTGCGTGGGGTATCCCTCTTGATCCATTCCAGACCCTTAAGGGCTGGTAGGAAAGTTAGAAGGGACGCCAAGGTAAAAAGTTTTAAAAAAATGCGTGGGGTTCCCCCCAAAATTCCCAACCACCCCCCCCCTCCTCCCTGCACCATACCAGGCCACATGGTATAGTTTGCCAGGCTATAATGAACATTAATTGCCATGATTAAATGCGTCCCCAGCCTTTTTTACGCCTAAGGCGGCAGGAGTGAGCTCTGGTGGTATCCTCTGAGAGGGCGGGGGGACTATAGGGGGGGATGGATGGGTGTGTGGCATTTGCATCATCTGGCAATTAGTGACAACACTGGTTGCCTGGAGCTGGGTGGGACAGGTTCTAAATGTAATTTACTTTCATAGGCATGGAGCCATATAAGGTCAATGATGTCAATTCATCCCATCCCTATGCTTACATCAAGGGATGGGTGGGAAATTACTCAACAGCAGCTAATTGGAAGGCATGAAAGGGGCTTTCTTCCGTGTTCGGGAGGCGATACACCCTGGTTCGGAATAGCTCAGGTTCGGACCGCGTTTGGAGACAAAGGAGATCCCTGCTTCCCTTTCCCTCTCCCTATCAAAGCACACCCTTTACTTGGTATCAGCAAGGGTGCAAGTGGATAACGTTTTACAGTGTTCATTATGCCAGTACTGTACCCACTGGCATGTTGGCTGGAGACCCCACCCAGTAGGCAGAGGGCTATTAGAATATTCATTACTGCAGGGCATGCTATGTCATTCAGGTGCCCTGTGTCCAAAAAAAAAATCTTGCACCAGGGCCCTTTGTTCCTTAGCTCCGCCACTGCTGTGGACCCCTCCTTCAGGCTTTAGCTGGTGTAATGATATCAAAAGAAAAAGCATATCTTGCTGCAGGAACAATGTAAGCTTCAAAATCCTGCTGGGGCACCCTATGCAGAGGAGGAGAGAGGTTTGGGGCTACATTTGCTTTGTGCCCAGAGATGAGCTTTAAACAAAATAGCAATTGTTTATAATACACAGTGCTTTTGCAAGCTAAATGTCATTCAAACACTGCTTTAAGTGAACTGTGTTACAAATCGGAATATAGTGCATAATGCATTATGTAGATCATTATATTATATATGCATTATTATATATAGATCATTATGTGTGAGCAATATAAATGTCATCATTACATTTCACATGTGTATATGCTTTTATCAGGAGGGTGGTAGTGTTGCAGTTGTTACAATGCAATGGTTATAGACCTTCTTTATGATCTCTAACATCCTTATATTTTCCAGTAATGTGAAATAAAAATATATAACCCAAAGCTATGACGGCACTGTCCATTTGGAGGGCAGCCATACTGCCAATCTCTGTGAAATGTACAATCGCCAGTAAATGGAAACCAATTGATTATCTCATAAAGAAAAATGCTTTTAGAAATGAAAGAGAACATTAGAACGTTTTACGTGTTCATATATTTTCTCTACAATTCCTGATCTCCTTTTATTGATTTCATACTTTTAATTAATCAAATGGAGACAGCACTTTCATCCAGAATCCCTTAGGGCCCATTTATTGCTTTGCAGTACATTTGCGCATGTGTTATGTTGCACCTTAATGTGTATTCTATTAAGGCAACCCATCCAAATGAATGTGTGCCAACATACCTTAATATGCTGACAATTACACATGACCCTTTTTTGTGCTGCAACACATGGCAATGCACTACAACACAGAACACAGTTGCATTGCCTTGGTGCACTGGTGTTACATGTGCTCTACCACGCATTGTGGTAACACGCGTAGTAGGACACACATTACTGGAATACAGAAGTGTAGATAGACCTTTAATAACTCTGGACTGTTAGTAAGACCCTCACCTGTCCAGGATTTGCTGCCTTATTTGCTTCACATGGTGGAAACTCTCAGGGCTGCAGATGTCAAACACCAAGACAAAGACTCTGCTGTTACGGAGTCCCCGAAAACGTGGATCTATCCACTCCTGTGGGAAATAACAAAGACAGGATAAGTTATGTTAATGCAATATCTGCGCCTTCATGAGTGCCTACAGTACATAATGAAAAATGACTGCCATTGCACATTGAGATGAGAGCCTACAGTACATAATGAAAAATGACTGCCATTGCACATTGCCACTGCAAATAATCATCGCCATACACAATGGGTATAACAAAGCTATGGGTGGTAAATGTCTCTGTGCTCATTCGGATCACTGAACTACTGGGGGCAAAACTGATGTCTCTCTCTGTCCTGGCTGATATTTGCAAACAGTGCACCTGTACTGAATGGACAATTCTATTTTCTAGGGAGAAAAGGGAATGTTCACTGAATAATCTGGAAATAACATGTATGTGTGATGGTAAAACGTCACGTGTAATTGTTGGTGACTTTCTCCTTCAAATATGCAGTGTTTAAATTGGTTGAATTGCTTGAACATATCTGTGTATGGCCAGGCAACTAGACTCATGATGAAACCCACAGTGCTTAATCAGCAGAATATCTCATATATTAGCCACAAAATCAGAAATCTAAATTAAACTTCTATATTGCCATACAGTGTTTATGTCAAGCAGTGAGGAGTAATATCTATTGCATAAAGCTGAACTCCAGGCAAACAGACGTTTTTTGGCTATCCAGTCCCCCACAGCTCTGCCACAGAGCACAGCCCTGCCTGGAAGTATAGGAGACCTGTATTCTCTCTTCTGCAGATACATAACACTTATCGGTCTTGTCCCTCCCCCAGCCTGTGACTGGACGGTGAAAAGAGAAGCAGCAGGTACTAACACAGCCCTGCCACAGAGCACAGCCCTGCCTGGCCGGACGAAAGACATGATTTTTCCTTGCTGCAATAACTAACACTATAAAATTTACAGGTCTTGTCCCTCTCCTAGCTGCACAGTGAAAGAAAATGACTGGTGAGCAGTGCACGTCTTTCTGTCACTATGCTCTCTCCTCCTATATCTCACATATCTCTACATGTATTATAGTATACACTATATTGCCAAAAGTATTGGGACACCCCTCCAAATCATTGGATTCAGGTGTTCCAATCACCTCCATGGTCACTCACAGGTGTATAAAATCAAGCACCTAGGCATGCAGATTGCTTCTACAAACATTTGTGAAAGAATGGGTCGCTCTCAGGAGCTCAGTGAATTCCAGCGTGGTACCGTGATAGGTTGCCACCTGTGCAACATGTCCATCCGTGAAATTTCCTTGCTACTAAATATTCCGCGTTCACCTGTTAGTGGTATTATAACAAAGTGGAAGCAACTGGGAACAACAGCAACTCAGCCACGAAGTAGTAGGCCATGTAAAATGACAGAACGGGGTCAGCGCATGCTCAAGTGCACAGTGCGCAGAAGTCGCCAATTGTCTGCAGAGTCAATAGCTACAGACCTCCAAACTTCGTGTGGCCTTCAGATTGGCACAACAACAGTACGTATAGAGCTTCATGGAATGGGTTTCCATGGCCGAGCAGCTGCACCCAAGCCTTACATCACCAAGTGCAATGCAAAGCGTCGGATGCAGTGGTGTAAAGCACGCCGCCACTGGACTCTAGAGAAGTGCAGATGTGTTCCCTGGAGTGACGAATCACGCTTCTCTGTGTGGCAATCCGATAGACGTGTTTGGGTTTGGCGGCTGACAGGAGAACGCTACATGCCTGATTGCAGTGTGCCAAGTGTAAAGTTTGGTGGAGGGGGGATTTTGGTGTGGGGTTGTTTTTCAGGGGTTGGGCTTGGCCCCTTAGTTCCAGTGAAGGGGACTCTTAAGGCATCAGTATACCAAGACATTTTGGACAATTTCATGCTCCCAACTTTGTGGGAACAGTTTGGGGATGGCCCCTTCCTGTTCCAACATGACTGCGCACCAGTGCACACAGCAAGGTCTATAAAGACATGGATGAGCGAGTTTGGGGTGGAGGAACTTGACTGGCCTGCACAGAGTCCTGACCTCAACCTGATAGCACACCTTTGGGATGAATTAGAGCGGAGACTGCGAGCGAGGCCTTCTCGTCCCACATCAATACCTGACCTCACAAATGCGCTTCTGGAAGAATGGTCAAATAATCCCATAGACACACTCTTAAACCTTGTGGACGCCTTCCCAGAAGAGTTCAAGCTGTTATAGCTGCAAAGGGTAAGCCAACTCAATATTGAACCCTATGGACTAAGATTGAGATGCCATTTTCTCCAGTTCATGTGCGTGTAATGGCCGGCGTCCCGATACTTTTGTCAATATAGTGTACCTTGTTATCACAGAATACTGTGGGACAACTGATTGGCTCCCCGTGCTGCTTCTCCCACCATGAGCTCTGCTTTACTGGGATTGCAAGATACTGCTACAAGCCAAATTCAGGTAATAACATTGCCTGCATTTAAAAAAAAAATTATGCTGTATTTATGAATACCGAACTGCATTAATTTGTGTCTTTTATATCTACATAAAGATCATCTTTAATGAATAATGTATGGCCAGTATAAACTTCTCTTTTCTACTTACACTAGAAAATGACAGCTCATGTTATATGTATTTTAAATCTTAATGCACTTCTTGGCAATGTAAAGATACATAGCAGAACCTGTAAATATTGTATATGTCTTCTTCAACACCTGTGAAATGTACATTTAAACACTTCCTGATCGTGCCAAAAGTTAGCTTCCTCCCATCTCCTGCACCTTCCTGTTGGCTGATCACTATGATTGGTGACTTTACTAGCCAGTAGGTTGGTAGTTGAGGAGGAAAGCTCTAGACCAGGGGTAGGCAATCCTGGCACTCAAGCTGTGGTAGAACTACAGCCCCCCTGAGGCATTGCGAGACTGACAGCCACAGGCATGACTCCCAGAGGCATGATGGGATTTATAATTTCACCACAGCAGGAGAGCCATTGTTGCCAACCTCTGCTCTAGACACTGCAAGATGGGACAGCTAAAGGAATCACCCCATCCTCCCCTAAATTTACCATCTATTCCAATCCTAAATTAACCATGAAATAGCTTCCCCTAACACCTAAAGAGGTCACGATTGTGCAAGAATCTGAGCATTTAGTCTAAGCTCTCAAGGGCGGGGCTAACTATTATTTTGAATTATATTGTAACTGTAATGTCTTCCTTTTATTGTTAAGTGCTGCACAAACTGTTGGTGCTATATAAATCCTGTATAATAATAATAATAATAATAGTATAATGAGTCTTGTATGCCCTTCAGGGCCGGATTTCCCACAAGGCCAACCAAGGCCTGTCCTTGGGGCAGCAGGGAGTAGAGGGGCAGCAGGGGTATGGGATTCCCGGGACATGCAGTTCCGGGCGCCGGGTGGGTAGTTGTTTTCTACATTTAGCCCTGCTTTGGGCAAGCAGAGTTAAATGTACAGCGGGGAAGCCACTGCTTGTTTTGCACAAGTGATTTTGGTGGCGTTGTCGCTGAGATAACTTGTATGCAGCCTGAAGGTCTGCCATTCTCTATGGGGGGGGGGTTGGTGGGTAGGGGGCCGCATTGATGAACCTGGCCTTGGGGCAGCAGAGAGAGAAAATTCGGCCCTGATGCCCTTACTATGTTTTTAGTTCTTAACTTCTTAATTTCTATATCTTCCCATTATCCATCTAGAGCACAGTGGTGTAGTGGTTAGTGCTTCTGCCTTGCACTACTGGGGGTCCCTGGGTTGAATCCTGGACAGGTCACTATCTGCCAGGAGTTTGCATGTTCTCCCTGTTGCTTGCGTAGGTTTCCTCCGTGTACTCCGGTTTCCTCCGGGTACTCCGGTTTCCTCCCACACTCCAAGAGACATGCTCCGGTATAAATCAGCCCTGTATGTATGCATGTGAGATAGGGACCTTAGATTGTAAGCTCCTTGAGGGCAGGGACTGATGTGAATGTGTACTATGTAAAGAGCTGCGTAAATTGTTAGTGATATATAAATACCTGTAATAAATAAATAGAGCAGAGGTGGGCAAATTCCAGCCCTCCAGCTATTGTGTAACTACCTATCCAATGAGGCACTGCAAGATTTTCCATCCACGGGCATGACTCCCAGAGACAGATGCATGTTGGGATTTGTAGTTATACAACAGCTGGGGGGCCACCTCTGCTCTAGAGTCGCTCAATTTGAATACTATAAAACGAGTCCACCTTCCCTTTGATAAATGCACATTGGGTACCTATCTGTGTAAAGAAAAAAAAAATATATATTTCTAGACAATACTTTTTTTAATATATAATTAAATAAAAGCTTTGTTTTATGCCATACTGGTAAGATGCACAAAAGAATGAACACATCATCCTCGTTCTATTTGGTATCTCATACCTTTAGACATGCTTCTTCATTTTGCATTGCTGGCTAGAAAAATAAGACACTGAGCTGTGTTTTATAGTAAAAAGGAAAATGGCCACAAAGAAGGTATAAAGAAAAATGCTTTCAATGTTGATGATTGCTGATTCAATGTATATAAACCAATCACTTGTTCGTATAAAGGTCCCTATGGCTCACAGAGTGTTGGATAAATGAATGACATCTGGACATTACTATATTCTGCTACCATGAGAAATAAACAGACCTTCCAGCAAAAAGTACATAATGCAGAGAACAGGCTGCGGTGATCGTAATGTCAGAAGGATTTAAATGCGAGCAAGTTTATACTCATATCATATTTGCCTTTAGATTGACATTTCCTGGATACATCATCATATTTAGAAGAGCCATAAGTGATCACTATTAAGGTCTATTTTTGCCATTTGATGTTTCCATACTGGATGAATGCTGGTAACCACAACGACACATAGAAAACATTAGTTCTCTATGTGTCATGTTCACACTACAACGCTGCGTTTATATGCGTTTTAGTTATATGCGTTAAAATGCAACTTTTGCATTTTATCACAATGGAATGCATATAAATGTATATAGTTACATAGTTACATCATATTTGAGGTTGAATAAAGACATAAGTCCATCAAGTCCAACCTATTGCGTGTATGCATTTATGGTTGAGCTAGTGTGTGCGTGTATATGAATCCATGTGTGATCCTGCTCCTAGGAGCACCTGTACCCCTGTACATTAAGGTCTCTTAGGAAATTGTCCAAGAGTTTCTTGAATTATTCCACACTCTTAGCTGAAATCACTTCCTGTGGCAGCGAGTTCCAGACCCTAACCGCTCTAACTGAGAAGAACCCCTTGCGCCCCGTGTGCTGAAATTCTTTCTCCACCAATTTTAGGTGGTGGCCTCTAGTCTTTGTTATGGGGTTAACCGTAAAGAGTTTGTTAATAGTGTTGCTGTCACCATTGAACATTTTTCTTGTCTCATAGCTCTCGTCCTCCAACCCCTTAATGAGTTTGGTTGCCCTCCACTGGACTTTTTCCAGCTCAAGGACATCTTTTCTGAGCACTGGTGACCAAAACTGGACTGCATACTCCAGATGAGGCCGAACCAGTGATCTGTAAAGTGGCATAATTATAGACTTGTCCCTGCAGTACATTCCCTTCTTAATGCAAGATAGGACTCTGCTCGATTTGTTTACAGTAGCCTGGCACTGCAAGCTATTCTTCAATCTGTGGTCTACAATGACCCCAAAATCTTTCTAAATTTCTGACTTCCCTAGTGGCACACACATAAGTGTATAGTCCATTTGCCTATTTTTAATCCCAAAGTGCATTACTTTGCATTTATCGACATTGAACTTCATCTGCCATACAGTTGCCCACTCCCCTATTTTATCCAGGTCCTCCTGTAATGTTACAGTGTCTAAGTCCATGTGTATTACCCTCCCAATTTTGGTATCATCAGCAAATACTGAAACATTGCTATCCACTCCCTCCCCGATATCATTAATAAATCTCCTTCTTGGAGTCGTGTAAGCATTTCACTGCATATCATACTTGTACGATTATGTATGTGACAAATAAATAAATCTATCTATCTAAAATCTATCTATCTAATCTAAAAAACAGGTTAAAAAGCATGGGGCCCAGCACAGAACTCTGGGGCACGCCACTCATGACTTCAGCCCAGTCTGAAAAGGTGCCATTTATCGATACTCTTTGTACACGTTCCTGTAGCCAGTTTTCTATCCACGTGCACACTATTTCATCTATACCCATAGATCTCAGCATAAAAACACATATAAATGCAACACACCAAAAAAAAAGAAATTTTCACCTTTTAAATTGATGTTGGAGGAAATACACCTCTTTAAGAGTTTCTGAAAGGTCACATTATATTTATTCTGGTCTGCAGACATTTTAACAACAAGAAACCACAAGAGATATTCCAAGGTCAGTAATTTGGCAGATTCCGGGAACTAGCCTGGTAACGTGCGAGAATAACCGACTTTATAGCAGCCTCACCTGTCCCGCGGATCCAGGGTATCTAGGCAGGTTAGGTAAGTCCAGGATGAGCAGCTCATACATCCTCTCGCTGAGCACTGCAGAGGCTCTGTGCAGCTGCCGACTCTCAGTTGGGGTGTATTCCTCCTGGAAGTCCTGGGCTACAAATTGCCGGATGATAGAGGTCTTGCCAACCCTGGGTGCCCCCAGTACTGCCACCTGCACCGTCTGCGCCATCTTCATACAAGCATATCTGCACCTATCACCTCTTCTTACATGACCATCTCCAGCCATGAGCTGCTATTATCTGAGCATTATAAACTGATGCGACACCCTCATTCTGACATCTGTAAGAACAAAGCAATTACATTTATGAAAAACACCAATCGTACATGAGGACCATAGAGAGGAATAAGCCTCAAAGCTCATTAAGACAGGTAAAAGAAAATGTCAATGTCATAGCTTCCATGAAAAAAACAAACCTTTCACGTCCTGAGCATCTGAAATGATCATGTTCACATTATGAGTAATTACTAAAGCAAGGTCACATCTACTGATGCAGAATGATTAATACTGTTGTCCCAAATGGCAATTTTTTTTTAAATCAATTGCACCATCAGCAAAGAACAGCTTGTGTATTGACTGACACCTTTAAAACAGAAGCGGTAACACAATTGATGTAGTGGCATAAAGGACAATATTTGAAGTATTACTGATAATTAATGGAGTGATCATTGGGATGAGCCTTGTCATTTATCAGAACGGAGGATGGATGGAAGAGGTGCTGGCAACAACCGATGGGTCATTAGATTTAGGAGTCATCGGTCAAGGTCGTCGCAGCACTGGTGACTGAATGCTGTGCTGGGGGTGAGTCAGGGCACAAACAGATGATGAGTAATGCAAAAAAACAAATAACATTTTAGAAGCATTCCATCTCGCTACACAAGGAATAAATAATGACCCTTTGTATAGATGGATCTATATTTTATCTGGAGGATGAGCGATGGACACGATACAAACAGCCTTGTTCTTACCCCCTGTGCCTTTCTGCGCCCAAACTTGACATACAACCATTAACCTTTAGCACCAGGGACAGCGACAGCACATCCAGCCAGCATCCTCCTATGCACTGACTGTATACCTTTTCCCTCCTCCCCCTTGTTCCATTCTTGCTGAGCACAGCAGGATTGTGGGGCACGTGCTGCAGAATACAAATAAGCCCCCTCCTCCCCTTGTCTAAACTGCGGCATCCTATCATCAACACTTTCTACTGGGAGACATCGATCGTTTCCATTCTGCAGAACTGGCAGTGTAACTACTTTCCAGTTACCTTTATACAGATCACCTGCCTATCATTACGGAGACCACTATCCTGGATACAATTCTGAATTATATTATGATAGTGCAAGCTTTTATCTGATTTCCCAGTATTTACTATTGCAATTGTAATCTGTAATCGCATTTTCTCCCCCAAAAATAGGAAGGTTAAACATGATTAACTATAACGAATAATCTCCATTCCAATTATAGCCTACCAGAATGATTTGTGTTGTGACTAGGGATGCACCCGATCCCATTTTTTCCAGACCAAGTATGAGTACCGATACTTTTCCTTAAAGTGACATTAAAGTAAAAAAATGTTTTCCGTCCCCCCAATGTTAATGTTAGCACTTACCTTAAATGATGTCTCGTAATCCGATCTTCCTCTTCTTTCCAGCCTTCTCTCCAGCAGTGCTGCGGGTGTCCGATCCATCGCTGACTCCTCTGTCCTTGCTGGCACTTTCTGTTCCGCGGTATCTGCATGCGGGTGCACGCGTGCATAGACTTACCTTGCGTCTCGTCTCGTCTCCCGACCGAAAATCCGAACTGCGCATGCGCCCGCCCCAAGATGCTTTGCAGCTGCCCGAGCAGTTTCGGATTCTTGGACGGGAGCGAGCTACGAAGACGGGGTAAGTTTAAGCCGCTGTTAAAGCGGGTTTTGTTTTAAGAAAAAACTTTGCATACATCTACTGCTTGCTAGCCGTAAATATATATGCAAACAAAACGGAGGGTTTAGAAACCCTTTAAGTACTCACCGATACCAATTACCGATAACTTTCTTTTTTAGTGTCATGTAACAGTTTTTCTAAAACAATGCAGACTAATGATTTTAGGGCGGTGGTGGAGCGCCAGGGCTTGGTCGCAGCTGCAAATGCTGCCACCATGGTAGTACTGCCACTGACTCCAGGCTTTAGAGGGACTATAAATCCCAGCAATACATTATACAGCAATGCAGAATACCACCAGCTATAGAGGACTACAAATCCCAGCCACGCATTATATAGCAATGCAGAATACCACCACCTATAGAGGACTACAAATCCCAGCAACGCATTATATAGCAATGCAGAATACCACCAGTTAAAGAAGTCTAGGAATCCCAGAAATTCATTTTACAGCAATGCTGAATTTCACAAGCTATAGAGAACTACACATCCCAGCAACCGATAACTTTCTTTTTTAGTGTCATGTGACAGTTTTTCTAAAACAATGCAGACTAATGATTTTAGGACAGTGGTGGAGCGCCAGGGCTTGGTCGCAGCTGCAAATGCTGCCACCATGGTAGTACTGCCACTAACTCCAGGCTTTAGAGGGACTATAAATCCCAGCAATACCTTATACAGCATTGCAGTAAACCACCTGCAATAGAGGACTACAAATCATAGTAATACATTATACTCCAATGCAGAATACCACCAGTTATAGAGGATTACAAATCCCAGCAATACATTATACAGCAATGCAGAATACCACCAGCAATATAGGACTACTCAGCATTGCAGTAAACCACCTGCAATAGAGGACTACAAATCATAGTAATACATTATACTCCAATGCAGAATACCACCAGTTATAGAGGATTACAAATCCCAGCAATACATTATACAGCAATGCAGAATACCACCAGCAATATAGGACTACAAATCCCAGCAATACATTATACAGCAATGCAGAATACCACCAGCAATATAGGACTACAAATCCCAGCAATACATTATACAGCAGAGCAGAATAATTTGAAGTTCTATACCCTGTGTTGCTCACCAGAGCTATGCGGCGTCTCAGGAAGCTGTGCGGGGTCTCATCAGGGCTGCACACTCTCACCATGGCTGTGTGCGGTTTCACCAGGGCTGCGTGTGTAAACGCATGTAAGCAAATTGTTGAATCTTTACCTGGTATGGATTTAAGCTGTGGAAGGATATACTCATGGAGGTGAGATTATATAACTGCAAGTGATTCCAAGTTCAATGGAAGTTTGTTTAGGTGCAACAAGGACACAACACAGTGCATGTAAGGGAAATGTCTTCCTCAATACTTCAGATAAAGGTAAGTATGATATCTGTATTACTCCATACAGTAGTTATTTAACATTTAACTAAGAATAGTCCATAAATTAGAGCAGTCAGTTGTATTACTTCATGCCCCTCAAGAGCGAGTTAACTCCAATAGCTCGTGCATGGTTAAATCTGTATTACCTCATACAGGACATTTTTTTCTCATGAATGGTGAGCAGAACATTAGTTTGTGAACCACATATGATTGATAAGTCTTTATTAGTAACCCCCACCTGAGATGTTAGCATTGATGTATGAATGTTGCAACATAACATAGGACTTAATATGCGGTTATACTTGCGGTTAGCTGTGTTGATGGAATCAATGAATCCAGTATCACAGATTGAGCATTAGGGTAGCAGGGGTTCAGGATGGCAGGGGTTAAGCTGATTAGTGTCAGGAGTCCAGCAGAGAGGTTCACTCTAGGAGAAGTAGCAACAGATCTTCAGAGAAAATCCACAGTAAAGGTGGCCATACACTCTACAACCATCGCAAGACTTTGGTCTTGCGATGGTTGTACAGGGATTAATAAAACGTACGTTCTGCCTATCTTGGACAGGCAGATCGCACTCTCGATCATCGCAAGCCCGCCCCTCAGGGTGACCGCAATGCTGAACGGGCAGTGTGCGCGTGCGCACACCGGCCCGTTCGGCATTTGTCTTCCGAGCACCGTTCTAACCAGCCGAGAATCGTACGATTCCCGGCAGGTTTTCGAACATGCTGGTTCGACAGAAGACGTGCGACCGTTCAGTAGAAACGGTTGCACGTCTCCGTTCACACTGCTCAATTATCGTACGAAAAACCGATCGCATACGATTATCGTACGATAATCGTGCAGTGTATGGGCACCTTTAGTATGGTAAAGGATCATTCCTTTCTATTGTGAAAGTAGAGTCGCCAGGCAGGTCTAACAAGCAAAGACTTGTAGTCCAGAGAGGTGATCCCGCAGGTGCGCAGCAGTCTAGAAGGCTTCTCATGATGGAGTGCGGTTGGAGGAAAATGCTCAGCGTACACATTTCCCAGACGCTGAGCATTTCAGGTACTGTGGCTTTAAACTGACAGCCGGGTAGAGGAAAGAGGAACAGCGTGACGCTGAGGGAGTAGGCGGTGTCGGCCGCTGATCCTGGAGCGTGGACAGGTAAGTCTGTTACAGCGTGTGGGTCTTACCAGGCCTGTGCAGTCCTACCATGGCTGTGCGGTCTCCTCAGGGCTGCGTGCGGGTCTCACCATAGCCGTGTGGTTTCACCAGGGCTGTGTGCGATCTCACCATGGCTGTGCAGTCCTACCAGTGCTGTTCAGGCTAACCAGGGCTGTGTGCAGGTCTTTAAAGTGACTGCAGGGTAGAGGAAGGAGGAGCAGCGTGACGCCGTGGGATTAGGTGGCGTCGGACGCTGATCCCAGAGCGTGGACAGGTAAATCTGTTACAGCGGGCTGTGAGCAGTCTTATCATGGCTGTGTGGTCTCATCAGGGCTGTGTGCGGGTCTCCCCAGGGATGTGCGGTCTCATCATGGCTGTGAGCAGTTTCACCAGGGTTGTGTACGGGTCTTACTAGGACTGTGCATGGGGTCTCACCAGGACTGCATGTGGATCTCACCAGAGCTGTGCAATCTCATCATGGTCGTGCGGTCTCACCAGGGCTGCATGCAGTTTTCACCATGGCAGTGCGTGTGGATCTCATCATGGCTGCGTGCGGGTCTCACCAGGGCTGTGAGCAGGCTCACCAGGGCTGTGTGGGCTCACCACTGATCCCAGTATCAGTATTGGTGCATCCCTAGTTGTGACATGCACTACCTGGCCAAAAGGCACCACCTGGATTTCGGACAGTGTTATGATCTGGGGTTGCTTCAATTAGTTAGGTCTAGGTTCAGCAACGTTATGTCCCCAAAAAATTAGGCCAGCTGTCTGCCTGAAAATACTTAATGACCAGTTTTTTCCATCAATTGATTTTTTCTTCACTAATAGCAGGGCCATAGTTCAACTTGGTTCCACCGGAGAATGTGACGGCACACTCTACCAGGGTGTGGGCTTCATCAGTGGCCGAAAGGGCTGGGGCAACGCCAGATCAAGTCTGCAGGGCAGCCACTTGGACCAGCTTCCATACGTTTGTCAAGCATTACCATATAGATGTGTTTGCCAATCAAGACCAAGAATTTGGTAGCAAGGTCCTGCAAGCAGTTATGAGTATGGGTTCTTGCCTATTCTCTCTAATGCTGTCCTGGAAGATGACTTGGGAAAAACAGAGTTATGTAGCTGGTAACTCGGTTTCCAGGAATCTTCCAGGACAGCATGGTCCCCGCCTAAGGAAAATGTACATAATTTGTTTCCATGCTTTGGAGTATCCTTCCGTTCTTTTTTATAGACTGAGGCATGCTAGTGTTGAGCACTTTTTATTTCATGTGGATGATGTGCTTCCTGTTTCAGGTGGGAGGAGACTATCTCTCAGATGCTGTCCTGGAAGATTCCTGGAAACCAAGTTACCAGTTACCCAACTCAGTTTTTTGTTATTGGGTAAGGACTTTGTCCCAATTGTCCTGGTGAGTGGTCACCCAGTCGCATGCACACCTGATAGATACTCTTAAGAGGCTATATCAACACATTGCACAGGCACAGTCAATCGCTGTCACTTTCAGGAAGTCGCTACAGAACAATGATGCAAAGCCAACACTGGAATGAATACATTCAAATCAAGAGCCCCCTTGACATCACATTTTTTTACAAACCCTTCATATCAGAGCCCCCTCCGTTCACATCAGCATCCCCCTTCACATCAAGAGCTCTTCTAACATCAGAAGCCCCCCAAACACACTTTCACATCAGGGGCCCTCTTTACATCAGAAGCCCAGAAACTTAGTATTGTAGGATACTTACCAATATTGAGAATCACTTCTTAGCTTTACATAAAAGTACTATCACCACATTTTACTGCTAAGAGATTACATTCAAAGATTAACCCCTGCTGTATCTCTGTTTGGGAGATTTCCCCTCACATCCTTTGTAACCAATACAGGAAGTAAGGAGAAATTTTCTCAATAGGGACAATGACCACAAAAAAAAAAAACTGTTTTGGCTGGAGTTGGGTTTCAACCTCAACTTTTCAAGGCAGAGTCAAGGGCTAATTAAATCCAGGTTCTTATTTGCAATCAATTGTAGTTAGTGCAAATGATAGTACAGATATCAGGGCAGTCATATGAGCATCTATAACACTATGTATTATTGGGCTGTTAAGTCAAAGAATTGCCCTCTGTAAGTGGACATAGGCTGGAGAATGCCATAAAAAAGGTATACACCAAGAGTATGCAGTAAAATGTCTCTAGGTGTGCTTTGTACACATAGTGAACAGGTATGTAAATTAACTGTGTAGCGCATTATGGCCACTTGGTGGAGCCGATGAGCATAGGAATTTCCTATGTGCCTTGGCTCCATTGAGTGGCCATAATGTGCTGTAAATCTTGTTCACACAGCTGTTCCCTTTGTGAACTGTTTATAAA